GTGAGAGAAGCATTTCAAGAACAGCTCCAAACTGGGAGCTATTTAAAATTTACTCCTAATGAGTGAATTTTAAATGGGTATCTAGGTCGGTCAATATATGTTATTTCTATATTATAACGTCTCAGAACATGTAGAATCAAACACAAAATAATTAAACAATCTATTTTTCAAAAACAATGTATATCACAATGAAAAATTTCAACTTAAACATGTACACAAAACATATATAGTAAATTAAATATTAACTTAATGCAAAAATATATAAACAAATAATAGTATAATTAAATATTTAAAGCTAAAAAAATACCTTAAGGAAGGGACGACGGCTTGGCGACGGCGGGGCAGAAAAAACGGCTTGGCGACGGCGGCTTGGCGATGGCTTGGCGACGGAGGCAGGGTGAGGTGGTCGTCGACGTTGTCGCCGTTCCCTTGGAGACAGCGACACTTACAACGGCGAACGTCGAGGTGAGGTGGACGAAGGCGGCGCAATTAGACCAGATTTGGGGGCGACATGGGAAAGGCGACAGCGTGGTGTGGAGTTGAAGACGACGGAGAGCACGACGAAGAGCACGACGAAGACGAAGAGCACGACGAAGACGAAGAACGGAATTGGAGGTTTTTTTTTTTCAAAAACGCGAAGGGTAAGGTAGGGTTGGCTAATTTTATCACACTCTTTTGGATCGGTTATTACTAATAACCGATTCAAAAGGTATTTAAATCGGTTATCCGTAATAACCGATCCAAAAGATGGTCAGCTTTTAAATCGGTTATCCGTGATAACCGATTCAAATACTTTTTGCATCGGTTATTACGGATAACCGATCCAAAAGCTAAGCGATACGCGAATTTTTTTTTGCATTTACATCGTTTGTTTAGCTTAACGATGCAAATGAGGCGATTTATTTGGTCATTTTTGTACTAGTGAGATAGTTCGAGGATAGCGCCCTCCTTTTTTATTAAATTAAAGTAAATTATAAAAAAACAATTTTTAATACTCCATCCGTTTTCTCAAAACACTACCTTTTTAATTTTTTTTGTTTTTTCAAAAACACTTCCACTTTCTATCAAAAAACTACATTTACCTATACTTTTTCTTACAGACATATCACATCATACTTAGCTTCTTTAGTAATAATCTATCATCTATCTATCAAATCTTACTTTTATCAATTCCCAATCACATCAAGGGTAAAATTGAAAAGTCAACCATAAATATATACTATTTGTCTCTCCTAATAGTCAAAATATGAACTGTTTTATGAAACGGATGGAGTAAAACTTTCAAATAATTAATGAAAATCTCAAAAGTACTCTCTATAATTTTACTTTTTCTTGAAATTTTTATTTTCAAATTATCTTCTAGTAAGATTATAGTTTACTACCTCCGTCCCCCGCTATATTCGTCCACTTTTGACTTTTGAAACTGTTCATCTAAGCACTTTGACTAATCAAATTCTCTCAATGTGTAAGCCTAAATATAGTTATATGTGATCTTGTTTGATTTATCTTAACATATAGATTATTAATATATAATTTCTATAATTTTTTAATATACAAATTACAAGATAAAATGGATTAAAGAAGTGTATTGGATGGTGTGTAAAAATGAAAGTTGACAAATACTCTGGGACGGAGGGAGTAATTTTTACTCCCTCCGTTTGGAAAAACACTTCCCATTTGGATTTGGGGCAAAAATAAGGAAGTGTTAAATTATAGTTGATTTCCAATTTTGCCCCTGATGTGATGGGTAAAAGTAAGATGTGATGGATAGATTATTAGAGGAAAAGTATGATGTGATAGGTAGGGTATGAAAAAGTAAGGGTAAAAGTGGGTTTTTAATAGAAAAGGGAAGTATTTTGTTGGAAGTGGAAAAAATGAAAGAAGAAGTGTTTTTGAGAACGGAGGGAGTATTATTTATTCTTTATTTTTTATTTTAGTTTAAATAATTTGTTCATTTCGAAAAAAGTTTAAATACTTTTTTACTTGAACATTTTTTTCATTGGGGGCAAATTATTTCTTCATTAAGGACAATATTAATTTTTAGAGAAATTTTAATGTATTGATTAAATAAAAACTAAATTTCATTGGGGGCAAGTGCCCCCATTAGTTATGGGGGAAAGACCAAACTAGGATTAAAACATTGAAAATATACCAAAATAGGACTTCCATGTTTTTATTCCCGAAATAGGATTTACATTACTAAACATGGTCATATACATTACCAAAAAAGTATAGTAATTTGCACATGTACACTGCCACATTACCACAATGCAAAGTCACATTACCACAGTGCAAAGTCCTATTCCGAGAAAAAAACATGAAAGTCCTATTTTGGTACTTTTCTCTATGTTTTAGTTCTATTTAGGATGATTTCTAATTAGTTATTTAGTAGATCTGCCCATGTTGGTACACCTAAGGTCTATTCTGAACCTAGATATGAGTAAAATAAGCATTTTCTCACTGCTTAAATAAGCATCCTTTTTAATAAAAAGATTGATTTTTTATGCAAGAAAGTCTATAAAAATTATATCCAGCTAAAATGCACCGAACAAATAAGTACTTCTATTCATCATTTTTCCGAAGTTACTCGGTATATTTTTCACCTCTAAAAAAGTTTCACATCCACTTGAACAATAGCAGCATTATTATTGTTCTTGTCTCCTTTCATGCACAAAAAATATAAAATTAACTCTTTTTTAATAACAATAATAATACTACGTAATAATAATGATTATAATAATAATAACAATAATATATTAATAAAAACAACAACAACAACAACAACAATAATTATTATTATTATTATTATTATTATTAATAATATTATTATTATTATTATTATTATTATTAATATTATAATTATTATTATTATTATTATTATTATTATTATTTTTATTATTATTATTATTTTTATTATTATTATTATTATTATTATTATTATTATTATTATTATTATTATTATTATTATTATTATTATTATTATTATTATTATTTCACCGTACATATGTACCAGCACTTCCTCGTCCCCCCCTTCCATTCATCGCCTCTATATAAAGCTCCAAATGATGGCAACGCATGTATTGCCAGAAATAAACGTACGTGAACTTGTTGTCAGACAACGGACGAAGCTCGTCACTATGCCTTCATACGACGTCGTCCAACCCCGCCGCCCTACCTATGCTCAAATACACAAACAACTCGACTTGAACTCCGCAAAGGAGCTGCCGGAGTCCCATGCATGGGCCAACCTGTCCCCCGCCCCCACCGCCGACGCTTCGCCGGAGGCCGAATCCGTTCCGGTGATCGACCTCGGCGGCGGCGAGGCCAAGGCGGCGGAGCTGATAGGGCGGGCATGCAAGACGTGGGGGGCGTTTCAGGTGAAAAACCACGGGGTTTCCCAGGACTTGCTGGACCGGATCGAGTCCGCCGGAAAAAGCCTCTTCTCCCTCCCCTTGAGTCAGAAGCTCAAGGCGGCCCGCTCCCCGGTGGACGGCGTTTCCGGCTACGGGGTCGCCCGGATTTCTTGCTTCTTCCCCAAACGTATGTGGTCTGAAGGCTTCACCATCGTCGGCTCCCCCCTTGAGCATGCCCGCCTTCTATGGCCCCAAGACTACTCCTTTTTCTGGTACCTACAGTACATTTATTTTATTTTACTATCTCAACCCTCAATATTTGACTTTTTAGTCAAAATTGAAAAAAAAAATGATACTCCCTCCTTCTCCAAAAATACTTTCCCTCTCAATTTTTCTTTGTCCTCCAAATAAACCTTTATTTTCTCTTAAAAAACCCCTTTTACCCCTTACTTTTTTATGCTCTACGAATCAAATCATACCTTTTTACTAATAATCTACGTATCACATCTTACTTTTACACATCACATCAAGGGTATTTTTGGAAAGTAAACACACAAATATCAATCCCTTAAATCCTCAAAAAATCAAAAAGGAAAATTTATTTGGGGACGGAGGGAGTATTAAATATTGATACAAGTATAAATCTATTAATTTTATTGTATAACATATATTCAAAATATTGTTTTAGTTAATTAATACGGAGTAATATACTATATATGGAGTATATTTTATTTAAATATAAGTCAAAAATTGAAAATATTAAGAGACTCCAAAATGTCAGAATTCGACAAATATTCAGAAAAGATAGTAGGATTAGATAAATATAAACAAATAATTATTATACTAATATATGTAATGTGGTGTTTATTTAATGGATGGAAGGGTAAATGTGTATAAATACTATTCCCTCCGTCCCTAAAAGATTGCCGAATTGTGAAACTGTGGCATCTTTTGACCATAAATTAAATATAGTTTAAAATGATTAATTATTATAAAATTTAATATTTTAAAATTATTTTTACATTATAACTAAATAAATTTTTTGCATAATTCATGGTCAAAAAATAACATAGTTTCATACAAAAAAAGTCAAATTGTGTCAAGTTTTTAGAGATGAGTGAGTATTTAAGGAGGCAACACCTTTTTGTCATCGTAATCTTGTTGCACTAAATAGGTTGTCCATTTGTTTGATCTGTCCAATATGCCACGTATATTAATTGATTTTATTTTTGTTTGTTTCAGTGACATAGTGGAAGAATATGAAAATGAAATGAAAAGGTTGGCGGGTAGGCTAATGAAGCTAATCTTGGAGTCCATAGGGGTTTCCGAGGAAGAGGTGAAATGGGCCGTTGGGTCCAGAGGAGATCAATCCAAAGGGAGGTGTTCGGCCATCCAACTAAACTCATACCCGGCATGTCCGGATCCGGGTCGGGCAATGGGTCTGGCGGAACACACAGACTCCACCCTCCTGACCATCCTCCACCAGAACAACACGAGTGGGCTCCAGGTGTTCCGGGAAGGGTGTGGGTGGGTGGGGGTCCCACCAGTCCCAGGGGCACTGGTGGTAAACGTCGGCGACCTCCTCCACATACTCTCAAATGGGGTGTACAACAGCGTGCTCCACCGGGCGGTGGTGAACCGTAGCCGACACCGGATGTCGGTGGCGTATCTCTACGGGCCGCCGCCGGCGGTGAAGATATCGCCGCTGCCCAAGGGGCAGCCACCGCTGTATAGGGACGTCACATGGAGTGAATACCTTGGAACCAAAGCCAAGCATTTCGACAAGGCACTTTCTTCCGTACGGCTTTGTACCCCTCTGAATGTGCTTCCGGACACCAACGATCACAATCGTGTCCAAGTTGGTTAATTTTCACTGTTTTTTCTCCCTTTTTTTGGATGAGAAATCCTAGATTTCGTCCTTTGAGGAGTTATACCATTATTGGTTCAAAATTGCCATTCTCCAGTTTTGTAAATTATGATCTAGTCATCTTATTATTTTAACTCTCTTACATAACGCCTATTTAGCAATATAATTTACGGAGTATGTGATAGACTTTAATCCCCTGGATGATTTATAACAATAATAATGAATTCGATATAATGAACAAAAAAGATGGAACAATAGTAGAGCTGGCAAAACGGTCGGTCAAGTTGAGTTTGGGTTCGGTCACTTCGAGTTCGGGTTATTTCGAGTTCGGGTCAATTCGGGTTCGGGTTGAGAACAGTAAGTTCATGACCCAGTGTCATCGGGTTCGGGTCGACACAATGGATTATGACTTTGGTTTTTTAAATTTTAAAATTCACATTAACACTTACATTTTTTATTAAATAAATTTAAAATATCATATTAAATCTATTAGATTATTCTATTTTAAATCCTGAAAATTTTTTTAGATATACAAATCAATATAAGGAATTTAAAAAATGCTTAAGTATTAGAAAAAAGTAAGATAATTTTGTAATATCATTAAAAAATTTTCTAAAAATATAAATTTATACATTAAAAACGAGTAGTAAAGTGTATGATTTTGAAAAACTCTTACTTCAGTGGGTCGGTCAGGTCAGATTCGGGTTCAGTCGGGTTTGACCCATTTTTAGCGGGTCATTTCGGGTTCGGTCATCAAAACCTTTGTTCAAAACCCAGTGTTTTCAGATCGGGTTTCGGGTCAAAAACAGGTCGGGTTTTTTTTTGCCAAGTCTGAACAATAGTATTCTTATTGTAAATTTATTATTGATTACTTCCTACATCCACATACTTTCTTCTTATTCACTATTCAGAAAGTTAAACATTATTCAATTTATTTGTCTATTTTCGTTGCCCATTTAATAAAATAAATTAAAAATAATTAAGATTAATTAAACCAGGGCCGACCCTGAGAACTCAATGGCCTGGGCCGAGACAATAAAAGAGGCCCTCTAAAGATCTTATTTCTAATTAATGTCTTAACGGATTTAAGTACATAAGCTAATTATATTTAAATAAATAAATTACATACAGTAATAAAGATTTTATAAATACTTACCTTCCCAAACAATTGTCTAAAAAATTGGACCAGACGAGGATGGTTGGCTATTTCGTCGGTTCAAATGCCCAACCCTTAGGTTCCCATCAAACCTACCGAAAAAAGGCCAAAGCCGATCAAATGCCCAACCCTTAGGTGCGTCTAGAAGCGCGATCCTCGTGGTGCTTACGGCGTGCCTCCCGGTCTTCCATCTTCTTCATCTGATCGGAGAGATCATCAAGGCTCTCTTGAAGCTTCTTCATCGGTGCACAGTCTTGAGGATAAATTTTTTGAACTTCTTGGAAGGATTCTTCAATAAAGAGGACATGTGAGAATGGTGATGCAAGAGTGAGGCCGAGGAAGCATGAGAGGCGGACTTTGAACGTTTGACCCGAGGAGCGTGAACGGGGACCTCCGTGTTTTCATTTGCTTCGGCTTTGGGAGCTTGAGAGGTAAAAGGCAAGGATGACATGGATCGCCGAGGACCATAAACCGCTCTTGTTTCCGCATCAAGGTTTTGAAATTCTCGCTTCATGTAGTAAACGTCTCCAACCTTGATGAGGCCTTAATACCCAAAGCATTCCGCGTCAAGAAAGCAAACGCGGGAGGGACAAACCTCAAGAATTCCTTGTTTGGCAAAGATATGGGTAATTAAGGGCCATGCCGTAGGGTTTGTTGAGGCGACCCGAGCTCTCGTAGATGTGTTGAATGATGAGAAAAGGAAGATTGATTTTTTTGTGGGTGAGGAGGAAGTAGAGGAGTGTGCATTAATATATCCTGACTTGCTTATCCTTGTTAAGGACGGGAATTATGTTTTCTTTGAGGATTTTGAGGAGAATGAACCTATTTGCGGTCATGTTTTGGACTTCGGGCCGGCAAAAGATATAGTCTGGGTTCTCAAAAACATGATCAAGAGCAATGTTGTTGAGAACACGGAGGAAAAAGTCCATGTTGAAGTCTTGTGAATCGGAAATCCACCCCTTTTTGCAATAAAAGGCAATTCCTTCAAGGCCAAGATGAAACCATTCGGAGAGTTTTTGGGTGTTGAACCCGAATTTTTTACCGGCAACGACGGCGGTAATGGAAGTTTCACGCTTATAGTATTTCATGGAAGAATAAAACTCATAAACAAGGACTGCGTATACCGAGGCTTGGAGTTGATGAAAAAAACTCCAACCTTGTTCATGGATGATATGTAGGACGGGAATGCAAATATCAACTTGCTTCAAGGTTCTCCCCTTAATAATGTGTGGGTCAGCATAGGCCTTGAACCCGGCTTGGGGATCGATGACAATTTCGCTCATGTTTGAGAAAAAGAATGGATTTTAGAGAAAAATTGGTAAATATCGATGAATTAAAGCAAGAATTTGAAGAATTCAAGATGCAATTGGAAGAATTACCTTTGGAGAGAGTGAATTTCAAAAGTGGATGAGAGTCGCCAGGAGAGAATCGCAGTAACCGTAGTGCAGGGACCTGAAGAAATGAAATAGTTTTAGGTTTTTTAAAGAAGTTGACCCGTCGAGACGGTCGGTACCTCGGTACCGTGATCCCGGTACCGTGCAAACGGTATGGCATACCGTAACAGCCTACCATGAGGAGTCCAAAAATCAATCTCTCTGGTGGTTTCTGCGTCCAAACGGTACCGACGTAATGTAGCAACGATAGGCCCTACCATTGAGACGGTACGTACTGGGTACTGTGCTTTAGCTCAAAATGTTGGATCGACCTCTAGG